GTAATATGTATAAGTTATGAACTTATTTGGCTTATTTTAGAATCTTGGTATATTGTTGAGTTGAGATGACTAGGGTTTGGCTCTAGTACGGGGACGTGAGTCCTCTAAGTCATTGAGATAGTGCACACTTAGGGTGGTATTCCCTGCGGGTTAGTGCCCGGAATAACCATTGAGGTCTCGGCAGAATTCTGAGCGTGATGTCCAAGTCTTCCACTATTTGTTTTCGCATTCCATTCCAAGTTGACAATCATGTTTACCTTGTTGACTTATAGTTTTGGCTATTGGCGATTTCGATGTTGTTAAGTACATCCATACTAAATTGATATATTTAGTTGATTGTACACTTTTAGATTTCTAGTTGATAACCTAGAGAATCTATGTCTTGATGTGTGGTATTAGATATTCTAATTATACTAAATTGTTATATTTAGTTGATGTTACATTTTAGACTTCAAGTTGATAACCTTGAGAATCTTTATGTTGTTGCTTTGTGTAAGTATGCTCCTATGTTGTTACTTTGTGTAAGTATGACCCTATGTTGCTAAAATTGCATGAATGATGTGATTGATGCTAGAAATGATCTTAGGTAGGTAGGATGCTCCTTGAGTCTCACCTTTGACATAGACATTAGGTGGAATGAACTACTATAATTAAATCATGCAAACTTGTAAAACGTATGTCGATGCATGCTCATTTCCTACGAGTAGCTTTATGGTACTCACCTCTACGATACTGGGGCATATTTCAGGTACAAGAATTAAAGTTGAGACTTCCATTATGCTTGGATGACTTGTGGACTTGAAGACTTCCATTTTTGTGAAGGTTGGCTTGGAATGCCAATTGTAGTCTTAATTGTCAAATGTGTATATTTGATTCGAAACTTGTAATGTGTGCCTAAGCACACTTTTGATTCTCATTTTATGTATATGATATGAGGTCAAGGGCCAAACTTCTTTTAGAATCACATTTATGTCATGGATGTTGATTTTTGCCCTTAATGAGATTATATGAAATTCATGCATTTTAGTATGTTATTTTGTACCGAAGCGTGCACTGTGTATGAAACTCATTCATTATCATTCATTCATCATATACGAGGTGTGGCCAAAGGCCAAATGGCATTTTGAAACCATCTCATGATTTTAAATTCCAAGTTTTCGTTCCAAACTTCGTTTTTGGCATTTTGGCCGTTGGGGGGTCATATTTTGTATCGGTCATATTTTTGAGCTGTGGACCATTGTAGCACATCTTACTAGGTAGGTTACATTTGCATGCATGGTCGTTTCTGGGCAAAACTTCTTCTTTGGTGAAATGAGCCTCCTACGGACTCATTTTTCACTTTTGTTGCATATTCTGACCTAAGAGTATTTTGAGAATTTTCTTTGGGAAATAAATTCCGTTCTTCACATGGTTGAATAGAAAACATGATTTTAGGGGGGGTTTATTTTTTGTGATTTTCCAGAAAATGTCGTCTTGACATCGGAAATCGCTTCCGAACTTCAGCTCTCAGTTTTTAAATTTAGCAGCTTTTTGGACCCTCTGGACCAGTTTTCTTGGGAGGGCATTTTGGCCATTTCAAAGTGAGTATTTTTCAATTTTTCTAGGGAGTCACCTAGAAAACTCTATTTTGAGGGGGGTTTCTTATTTGTGTTTTTTCAGAAAATGTCATCTTGGCCCTCAAATTTTCATTTTTCCCGAAAAAACCCCTGCTGCCAGGGTTTCGTGCTGCCGCCTTCACATCTAAACGGTTACAAGGGGTTTCGTAACCAGTTAGATGAGTGTGCGTAGTGTATATGTCGTGATTTTTGGCCTCCTAACTGGTTAGGAAGGTCTCCTAACCGGTTAGATGTTCTTGATTGTCACCTTTTTGACTGTTTTGCCCCTTCTTCTTCCGTTAGCTATATCTTCTTCATCCGGACTCTGAATCAAGTGATTATTGAGTCTAAATTCATTAATTTTTCGTTGTCTTTCCAATGGTGTGCTCGGTGGCACCCACTTTTAAGCTGAAAATGACAATTTTGCCCCTAGGTTCATTCTTATTCGTTTTTGAAACGTTGTTTCCGCATTTGATTCCTTTGGGTTCCGTGACCTCGTTGAGGGTCATAATGGTGTCTTAGAGCCATGTTGTATCTCTAGAGACCATTGTTTTGTTTTTTACTTCCGCATTTCAGCTCCGTTATCGGGTCATCTTTCTGTTCATTACTGACGCACCGGGTTGAAAAACTTGAGCCGTCACAGAAATCAACTGAAATGAAAACTCGTGAAGTCAAAACTCAACTCCGAACATGAAAAGTGAGGTTGTGCCAACAAAGTGACAAACGGAAAAAAGACGAAAAGTGAATAGTGTCCAAAAAATAAAAATGTGAAAATGACTCGATCCTTAAAGGAAGTTGTCAATCTAAATGAAAGAGTCTTAGAAACTATTTCCGAGCACTCGAGATGACACTAAGTGATGAGTAACCGAACTCAGAAAAGAAAATTCAACGAAAAAAATTTATCCGTAAAATTTCAGAAAAAATAAAGGTAGGAAAATGACAGGGTCATTACAACGGTGTCGCTGGGGGCAACGACCGATCCATCCGCTCGGACGTACCTGGGGGTTCGTGGAATCATTATCAGAGGAGGAGATGAAGTCCCCTCTGCTCCCCTGGTTCCACTATCAAAAGCAGACACTCTTTGCTGTGGATTGGGCTCGGTCGTCCTAGAAGTCTGAACCCTTTGTGCTAAAAGAACATCATCCATATCAGATCCAGACCCCCCCTCTTGTGGGGGTCTCTTTCCTTTCCCCTTCTCCGAGGTAGACTCCCGTACGGATGGAGAGTCCTCAGAGCCAGGAGTTGTGGCAGGGACATCCTTAGGAAGATCCTTTTTTTTTTTTTTTTCTAAACAAAGGAATCCTTAGCTCTTCCATGCAGATCCCAAGAAATGATATGTTATTAAGGGCTTCTAGAGTAAGTAACTCGGAAGATGAAGGGATACTGGTCCACATTTTCTTCTCCAAAGTGGTTAGCCGAGCCCTACAAACACCGTAACTTAGTTCGTCATATTTCACATTTACAATCACTCTTGTGTTTTTTAAATTTAACGTATAAGGGGACGGAGCACTCGCCAAAAACGGTCAGAATGGGAAAGTCACCGAAGGATGGGTTTTGCTAGGCCCCTCTAACTCCTATAATGTCACTTTTCCAACCCTTCTCAGAGTCAAGTTTTTCCAAATAGATTGACCATTTAGCAAGAGGGAAGAGATGGTAATACAAGTCGTCATGCCTTATTTTGACAATCCTATAACATAGGAGAATATCAAGGACGTCAAGCTCCAGATCCCTATCATCATTCATGATAAGGAGGACTGAAATGATCTTAAGAAAGTTGGAGTTCACTTGAAGAGGGGATAAGTTCAACTTATTAAAGACAGAGGAAAAGAAAGGGTGCAGGGGGAATCTAATCACGTTCAGGTGAAGGGGAGAGAAGAGGATCTCCCCTTGAAGGAAACCCTCACCGGTCCTCATGTTAAGTTTTTTAGGGTATTTTCTGATGAAAACATCACCGGGGATTTCGCATTTCTCGCGAAGGGATTCTAAATCGATCCCCATGGAAGTGGCGAAGGAAATCCCCAAGTTCAAAGAAAGAAGAAAGAAAGAGGTTTCTTAGAAATAAGAAGATACCGAGACTAACCTTAGAGAATGAAGTCAACAGGTCACTGCAGAAGGTTGGAAATGAGAGACTTCTAAAAGAAAAGGCTCGCCGGAGATATATTTCTAATTAACAGAGAATAATGGAGAAGACAGAGAGAATAAGAGAAAAGACTCGCAGTTACAGGCCTGAGGTTATAAAGGGGACTACCACTTTGACCGAAGCGTCGAAAGGCAATGATAAAGCTTCCATTTTCAAAACCTAGATCTTTGTGCAAGTCGTCTGCCTCCCTCTATCATCATATCGAGCATCACATCAATCATGACGTCGCCTCATTAATCTCGCTCTCATTAATGAGAGAGAGATTAAGGGGGCAGGTGAGAGGCAGAAAGTGGACCGGGCTTCTTTACGGCAAGTTCACTCAACCCAGAGTCTTGTTGGGCTGCTGATCCACTCTAAAGACAATCCATCAGGCCCAAGGTTTGAATCCTCCATTTTCAAGCCCAGTCTCTTCAGCGTCACAAAGCGGACTGATATCCACTATAACCCAAATATAAGCCCATTTCATATCGGCCCAAGTTTGAGAGAGGTGTTAGGGCAAATGTACACTCCGATAAAAGGAAGTGAGAGAGAGAAAGGAAGGGGACTTTTTGTGTGAAGTGTGTGAGATTTCTTTCTGAATATAGAGGCTTCACAAGGATTATTGAAAAATTACAATTTATACAAAATCCTATTTTTTGCTCCAGGAAATTGCAATTCTGGAGGATTTCAAACAGCGGAGAGAACCTGTTCGAATATAGACAACCTAATGAAACTGCAGATTTTTTACTAAATCAGATTTTAATGTGGTGGCTTCTATTTTCGGTCATGCTAAAGTAAACAAAAAATGAAAATTGGACTCCAAATGTATGCTTCCCCCAGATTACGTCAACTGCCAAACAAAAAAGAATACCTAAGATAAGCTTCGGATAAAGAACTCTTGCACACAAAAATAATTTAAAGAACAGCTTTTGAAGCCTGAAACATTTTCATCTTACATATCTTGAACCAAGTTAAAATAGAAAGCCAACAGTCTTAAACTCTTAATCCATCCTGAGAGGGCACAACTCGGAAACATTTTGCTAAAAGTTTTCGACATCCATTTCGGACCTGGGAAGTGCTCATAGCTCATTTTGCAGCCATTTTTCAAACACACACACATTCACGTATATGTATGCAATACAAACACAATGCAAGTAACAGCAGATTCATATTACCTTTCATCCAAAGAAGCCTCCCTCCAACTGCCCGTACAAAGTTCTCGCTGACTTCAGTGTTTGCTTCAGCTCACAAAGTGTGCTTGTGTTACAGTTAATTAGCTATAGAATGTTGCAACTACTTCAAATTGGGTTGAACAATCCATATATTTAGTAACCTCATTTATCTGACATATTCGAAGGGATCTTTATCCAAACTACAAGTAAATTTCTTGTTTCCATCATTCCATATATAATTTACATAAATGTCTTTGTTACAAATTATTACAAAAATTATTTTCTTAATTATACAAATGTTGTAAAATTTTTGCTGCTGCTTCCAATCCTTTTTTGAATCCTTGGAATGGGCACCAAATGGCCACAGGGTATCAGATGCCCTCTTCTGTCAATGACATTCAACTTCACCAGCAGAGTTGGATTCCACAAGCCCCATTCCCTTCAATGGGTAACAATATAACGGCTCCCAACCAGGAATTTTAGAGTTTTCAGGTACATTTTCTTACCGGACACCAAGTCCGGGTAAAATTGGAGGAGAATAATAGTCCGGATTGAATCTAAATGTAGTCGGGCAGTCTCCGGTTGAGAAAAGGTAGAGCCGCCGTCTGGTGGATGTGGCACCTGACCCTTTAGCCCGTCTTCACCATATTGTTGCTCTTTTCTGCGGATCACTTAGAACCTGAAAAAATTCAGATCTCAAACAGAAAACCCCATTAATTTATAAATAAAATCCTTTCGGTGGCAATCTTAGAAAGCTAAATTAAGAGGTAATCACAGATACCCATATAGCAAAATCAGATTAGTAAACTTGCAATTGATCATGCATTGGTGAACATACATACCTAGATCTGCTTAAACTTGGCTTCGGCTTCTTTCTTGTTATTGGGGATTCTCATCAGATGCCACTCCAATTTTACCTACACTTCCCTGAAAACTCTAAAATTGGAGGAGAATTTAGAGCCTGATTGGAAGCAGTTATATTGGTACCCATTGAAGGGAATGGGGCTTGTGGAATCCAACCCTGCTGGTGAAGTTGAATGTCATTGACACATATAAGGGGCATCCGATAACATGTGGTCCTTTGGTGCTCGTTCCAAGGATTCAAAAGAGGATGGGAGGCACCAGCAAAAATATTTAAGACATCTTCAGCGCATCTGTATAATTAAAAAAATAATTTTTGTAATAATTTGTAACAAAGCATTTATGTAAATTATTAGAAAAAAAAAAAACTGGAAACAAGAAATTTACTTACAGTATGTATAAACATTCCTTCCCTGCAACATACACATGCAATCGTGATCAATTCACTAAAGACAGAAGAATTCACGATCTCCGACACGTCCTCGATTCCTGCAAAATCCAACGGCCGAGGAAGGGCCGACGCGGCGGTGGTTTGATCCAAAAGCTTCCGGCTCTCCTCCAGGCTTCGTCCCAGCGGAAGCCGACCGTCTGGTGCTGCGGCGAAGCCCGTGGTGGTGGAAGTGAAGGCCGACACATGTTTGCAAACGGAAGGCCATTGTAGGGTTTTCAAGGTGTCGCTGTGGCTATGAGAGACTGAGTCGGTGAGTGAACTCGGCAGCGGCGGAGAGATAAATGTGGGTTTTGATGATCGGTAACTGTGGAAGAGCGATTTGTGAAGCTCTTCCAGAGCTCTCGTTGGAGTAGCTGAAATTATAATTTTCAACGAATTTGTCCTTTTATATAGTGCAGGCGTTATCACTCCAAATTTGTATAATAACCAAAAAAAAATTAAAAATTACCATTCTAATCAATATTATCATCAAAGAGTTTAATAGTTCACGAAGTTATAATAGTTTTATTTAATATTTTTTTTTTTATACTGACAAAATCAATTACATCGCAAAATAAAGAAAGAGTTTAAAAAGGCAAGAAGCAGGAGAAAACGAGTGGTTGACAAAAAAAAAATTGATCACACCAAAAACGTTAATTGAGAAAGAGGAGAAGAAAAGAAGTTTTTATCATACTGAAAAGGATAATTATGGTATTTAAAAAAAATAATTATTAATTTTTAAAATTAGAGTTAGATGTGTGTTTGTATTGCAATTGTATAAAATTGGAATGTGAATATCGTTTCATTTTATATATGCTACACATATATTGTTATCTTAAGATAAAAATATATATATTTTTTGTTATCTTATTCATTTAATATCTTCCTTTTATATGATTTTGTACGATTTTATTTTATTTAAATAAAAAATCAGACTACCCTATAAAAAAGATACCTTATTAAAAGGATACGTAAATAATAATAATAAAAGGATACTCTATAAACGGATCATTAGTTTGTAAAAGACAAGTACTGATATTTGGGTGAAACTTTAGGTAGAATATTTTAATTAATACATTTGATTGATTATTATTGTAAATAAATAAATAAATAAAAAAGTGAAAGTTTTTTATACTCCATCCGAAACTCATATTAGTTGTCTATTTTTATATTTTGAATTGTCCAAAAATACTTGTCTAATTTAAAAAGTCAAAGTAAAGTAAATCACTTTTTTCAAAATTACCCTTTAAATTTTGAAAAGTCCCACAAATTGATAATATATTTATTTAAATTTTAAACAACTTGGTAATCTTAGAATGAAATGATGCATTAATTGTATATCCCCTTAAAAATTCAAAATTCAAAAATGAATTGATAAAATGGGATAGATGAAGTGTTTGGCATACATTGACTAATTAAAATTATTTTACCAAGGAATTATGTCTAACTCGTCTATTGTAAAATCATTTTTCATAAAAAGTTGTGTGCATGTGTGTCCTAGGTAATGTAGTGGTAACATCAACCACTTCAAAGAGAGCTGTTCAACTACTTCAAATTTATTCATTATGTATCACTACTTCAAAGGGTCAAGTGCAAAAAATATTTCTAGAGTATGTTTACAATACATATCACATCCACTTTTAAAACACTCTTAAAGTTTTCAATTCTTACAAATAAGTCTCTCTTGACACATTTAAGCTATAATTTGACTAAAATGCTATAATGAATAAGTGTCTATAATTTAATTTTTTAATTACATATTTAATAAAAAATACTAATAATTATATTAAAATTTAATTGGGGATCAATTAATGCACTCTAAAGATCTCGAGCAGCATTCTCAATGCAATCAATGCTACGTTTGGTATGCAAGAATGGAATGGAAAGGTGTAACGACCTGGGTTTTCAACCTTGGAGCGTCAGTGATGACCCGATAATGGATCTAGATGCGGAAGCAAAAGGAACAAGACAATGGTCTCTCGAGGCATAACACACCTCTAAGACCCTAAGATGACCTTCCATGAGGTCTGGAACCCTAAAGAATAACTGAAAGCGAAAGATAGAATTAAAGGTCACTTGGTACCTTATGGCATCAATGACAACCAAAGGAGAAAGATCTAGTTCAAACTAGACCATGTATGCCATTAAATGGCTCAAGCAAGATCAACAAGGTCAAGTGGAAGTAAATCAATTGGTACAAGCTTGAAGGAGCAACAACCAAACAAAATCAACAAAGCAGCTGAAAGTGGGCTATTTCGGTCGACCGAAACTCACAGAAACATTTTTGAAGTCTAAATTTTAAGGCAAGGCTGGTTCAGTAGACCGACTTGAGCCATCGGTCAACCGAAATGGAGTTTCGGTCGACCAAAACTCCTCGAAGGGGTGCTGAAAGTCCTGTTATGAACAAAATTTGTTGAGACTCCACCCAAACCTCAAACCCTAACATGAATGTGGACCAAAAACATGATTTTAAGCTTTACAAGCATGCTCACAAGTGTACATTATACATTGAAACATGTTACAATAGCCCATGGCCTCATTACATCTCATTTACAAAATTTGACATGCTAAACCTCTAAAGTTGATAAAAATACATTTTTATACAAAACATGGTACCAAATGAGTATAAGTGCAATTACAAACGTGTTTGGCCCTTGGCCTCATGTCATACACATCAATTACCTTACAAAAAGTGTACTTATGTACACATTACATATTTAAAACAAAAATACAAGTTTTGTCATACAAGCAACAAATATGGTTTCATGCCAACATTTTGATGGAAATGGTACTTCAAGTCTACGAAACTTCCATGGAATAGTGTGCATCCTAAATCAAGGTTCTTGTACCTGAAAAATGTCCCCACTACATGGGCGAGTACCATAAAGCTACTCGTAGGAGATGAGCATGCATCGACCTAGCATTTTACAATTATATCACCTTAAGGTGAAACATGTTAAAGAGGCTCATGCCACCTAACGTCTAGGTCACAGTGAGACTTAGGGATCATCCTAAGCTACTCATGCATTTGAAATAAATAACGACATACAAGTATACATGCTCAAGTACACTTAGTCTTGTTAAATAAGTTATGCATTGTCCAAGCATGTATACAACATACAATTAACATGGAAAACTCATGAATCAAGTATACAGGCACAAGTATACTAAGCTAAATGAATTACGCATAAGACAAGCTTACACGACACAAGTATACATAATGAAGTCCGATTGCACAAATCAAACATGCAATGCTTAAGTATACTAATTAGGATTTAGATACACAACCAAGGATACAAGATCAAGTATGCTAAATGAGATCTAAATACACAAAACAAGTATACAGTTTCAAGTATACTAGTTATGATCTAAATACACAAAACAAGTATACAGTTTCAAGTATACTAAACAGGATTCAAATACCTAAGTAAGCATCAATTCTCAAGCTACAAGTAATCCATGATTGACAACTCGAAATTAAATGCGAAATCAAGTAGTGGAAAGACTAGGATCCTTAGCTGCAGACCAATCAAGTTATTCCGGGTAATTACGACCCACAAGATTCTACTTACTGCGCACTTCATATGACTTAGGAAACTCACGAATCCGTACTAGGGCCAGACCCTAGCCATCACATGAATATGATCCTTACAAGCCTCCAAAAACAATAAGTTCAAAGCTTATGCAAAATCAATAAGTTTAACGAAACTTATACATTTCAAATAATGTCTAGGAATCAATTTACATGCACAAGTAAGGTTGAATCCACATAAACTATGTCCTAGAGTTCAAGTCTACAATGACATTCACAATGTCGAATCTTCAGTGTGTGATTCGTTACACGCTATAACCATTTCATTTCAATATTAAAATGCAATCTTATCCAAACGATTCCTAACTTAAATATGTTAAACAACATGGTATAGTCACTACACAAACCAACTCAAAAACTAATTTGGATCATTGAGACAACAAAATCAAGTTTAATTGAAACATGGTAATTAAATCTCTAGATGTTCTAAAACAACCCCAAATGGATATATATAAGTGAACAAGCCCAAGTCACTACAATTATCAAGTTAAAAACTCATTCAAACTAGTGGAACCATTAATTAGATTTTTAATTAATTCGTTTAATTCAAAATCTCTAGATTTCTAAACTTATCTAAATGCTCTCAATTTAACATAGGTTAGAGAACATGCGAAGGTCTATTTTAATCTAACATTACAAGTTGATTTCATGCTTGTTTCAACTATGTGAATTAAACTTTCATAAAAGATAAATATTAAATAAGTTTTACAATTCTTATTCAAATGCTACAAATTTAATATATGTTACACAACTCACCAAAGCCTAATTTACTAGCATGCCACACTTTAATTCTAAGCTATATACCATCATTAGAATTAAATCATAAATAAATAAAATAAATAAATTAAATTCTAAACACTTGAAGAAGGCATGCTCACAAGTTGTATATGCTTATAAAACAATCAATACAAGAATAATATAAACCTAAGACATCCCCTACCTCAATTTGAGATGAAAATCTCAAAAGCCCACTGAAATGAAACCGCTTCGAATCTGACGAAACTTCTAGGTTTTGTCGGGGACAACACGATCTACATGAACCCCCAAGAAGCCCCATCAAAATCACATCTTGACTCTAAACCTGAACTCAAGAAATAGCCAAAACAAGATTCCAATCGGTGGAATCGAAGGCCTCGCCAAGGCGAACATAAAATACTAAGGCACGATAACAGTCACTCGAGGGAAGTGGCTGAAAAAAGAAGAAGAAGGGTGACAGCCCCTTGGCAGCCATGGCTGCCGTCCAAGAGAGAGGAGAGAGAGAAGAAAATCTAACTTTTTCTCTTTAAGTCCCTTATTTATAAAAAATTTCAAAAAGTGCCCCGAACGGGCCCTGCTGAGTCCGAAAAAGTGAAATTTGAGCAAACACGCTCAAACGGCAAAACTCTGTGAATGAAAAAGATTCAAAATGAGAAAATATGAACAACAGAAGAAACAACGTTGAAAACTGAGTCCTGAGCAGAGAGATATGCCCTAAACAAGTTCGGCGACAACCGGGCCCAGAAACCCTGAAATTGGAGAAAAACGACCAAAAGGAAATTCTATGAGTACCTGACTCGGCGAAATGTGAAAATGAATCCCGTACGAGGATCTAGGCTAAAAACAAGGTATTTTATAATAACTTTCGTTAATTGCACAATAGCCCCTACAAAAAGGGTTAACTGCAAAACTACCCCAGAATGAAAATATCTTCCAAAAGATATTTTTTTAGATACCCCTGAAATAAAATATCTTCAAAATATATTTATGAAAAACACCCCAAGAAAATAAAAAGATTCTGAAAAACTATACATCCATGCC